CCAATCACTATCCTTGAATTCTCTGGGTTTTCTTATTGACAAAATTTCCCACTCCCTTCTCCAGTTGCAATTCCTGCTTTCTGTGCATGGATCCCACTTTTTCCAACAGGAAGATACTTGCTCTGATGAAGTTAACTCTTGTTTCAGCCTTGGAAGGACTAAAAAATGGAGTAGTAGGTGCCATAAATTTGGATTTTTTTTTTGAAAAGGTTTTGGGCAACATCAATAGTACTCAGGGCTTACTTCTAGCTTTGTGCTCAGGGATCACTTCTGGAGCTCTGAGGACCTTCATTTTGGGTGTTAGGAACAACAGCAACTGAAACCTGAGCCAAATAATCATGACCAATGTACAGGAGTAGGTATTTTTCAGAGTTAATCAACTCCCAAATATTAGGAGCATAGCATTAACAGTCTTTCTGTGTTTAACCAAAGAACATTGCTTTATAGTAAAATATAAAAAGATTATAGGGGAAATAGGAAATCAGGTACAAATACACAGCACTTCAAGTACAAAGCACTATAAATACAAAGTCCAGAATTACCAGAAAGTTTAGCTTATAAGTAATCAAGACTGGCTTGGGTGACTGTGACAATGAGAGATAAAACACAAAGGAAAGGGATTAAAGATTTGATCATTGTATAACTGAAACCCAAGCACAAAATCTGTAAGTCTACAACTGTACCTCATGGTGTCTCACTAATAAAAATTAAAAAAATAAACTTTTTAAAAAGATAAAAAAAATTAGGGATGCTAGCAAGAGCACAGTAAGCTTCTCTGGGAGGAGGAAAAGGGACTATTCACTGATGAAGCCTAAAACACTTAGGGTTAATGTCCAACATCCATAGATTTTGACATTTAGAAGCAGAATTTGATAGAATCTCAAGCTCCTCATGAACATATTGCCTCGCAAGATGGACAGAAGATAGTGTTATGCTAGAAGAATCCATGAGGATGTGTGAAACATCATGAGTGAAGTGAAAATTCAAACCTCAATGCTAGTGTGACTCACCACAGCAAGAGTCTTGGCCAACAGTAGACTGCAAGCTGACTTAAGGGCTCATTTGTCAGCTTCTATCTCCTTTGTTCACTCACATATGATGGACATCAAATAGGATGTCTAGAATTAAAGTGACCACACCAAATACTGATGGGATGGGAGACAACTATGGTTTCATCTGTTGCGGGTGGGAATGTAAAATGGAACAGTAACTCAAGAGTTTTATGCAAAGCCAAATAAGTCGGGAAAAAGACAAGTAATGGATGATTTCACCTGGATGTGCAATGTAAGGTAATAATATGGTTGTCTAGACAAAGCAAAACAAAATATAACAAGATGTTAGCAACAGAACTAAATTCATCTGAGAGGAAGAAGGGGGGAAATAAGAGAAAAGGTGGAGAGGGTTTAGGAGAAGGTGTGGGGTATTTTTTGGGGGGACAAGTAATAATAATAAATATGAGAAACAATAAAAGTATAGGGAGAGAAGTTTTTTATAAAAAATAAAATAGAATTTTATAGTTTGATAATTTCTTTAAAAATCCAATATATAACTATTATATGATCCAGTCATTTTATTTTTAAATATTTACCCAAGCAAAAGGATGAAAGCACATATTACTGCAAAATTTGCATAAAATTTGCTCATAGGTTTGTTTATAATTTCTCTATGCTATAAATAACCCAAATACTCAAGGAAAGAATAAGAAAATAGTATTTATTTATTGAATTAAATCCATAGAGGGATATATCACTCAGCAATAAAACATCAACTAACTGCATATACAACAACATGGATAGATCTCATAATTATTCAGATTTAGAGAAGTCAAACAAAGAGGTGTGAGACTTTTGGGAAATAAATTAATAGAATAACAATAGAAAAAAAAGAAGGAATTTTTGCTTCAAAAAAATTGAGGATAAAAGGTTCAGGGTTTGATACCTGGTATACCAGAAAACCCAAATGCAGTCGCCATCAGCTTTTGCAAGGAAGGAAAAGACTTTCATTATAGTCTAGAACAGGAAGGTTCGAATGGTGTATTTGTCTACCTTCTATTCCTTTGCATCAGAGAATATTTTATAGGTAGGAATCTCTAGAAACTTCTATTCTGTCTAGTTCTTGGATAATGGATGTCTATTTCCAAGAGACCTCTAATTGGGTCTTCATTTCATCTGGTCTCCTAAAGGATGATGTATTTTTCTGTGAGTTTCTTCCTAAAACATAACTTGTGAAAGATTTGAGTTCTTGCAGGTTGTCTTGTAGGCAAGCAGAAAGGAAGGAGTTATGTGAGTTTCTGTTTGTAACCAGAAAGGAGTTCCTGCAAACAGAGTGAGAAAGTTAATACCTTTTGTCTAATCCAATTTATCAATGTCAGGTCATCTCATCCCTTTAGGGCCGCTTAGGGCCACTGAGTAGTTAGAAGGGGCAATAAACTTTGAGGCCCTTCTGTACCTTAAATTCTCTATGTGAATCATTTCCTATTTGGCGGTAGGGATTAAAGGTCTGTACAGAATGACCTGTGCTCCTAAATGTTCAATGCTGGTCAAAACTTGAGTGTCTAATGAAGATAAATTGACATGTTTGCCTCTTAAATATATTCAGATTGGTACTAAAACATAGATTTCTTGTAGAAGTGTAGTTTTTATGAGAGAAAATAAAGAAGGTATGTAAAGATATAATTCCAGCTTTAAGAAAAGATAAAGTTACACAATTTGTGCACATGGACAGTTGGAGAGTATCATGTTGAGTGAAATCAGTCAGAAGAAGAGGTATAGACTCAGAATGATCTCGTTCATCTGTGAGATATAAAGAAACTTCATCGGGGAATATCAAATACCCAAAGGCAATAGAAACAAATAGCAATACTGACATTTAATAGGGAGTTTGACACTGGGAAAGAGATGAGTGGGGATAGGTTAGGGGAGGGACCACTAGACCAATGATGGAGGGAAAAGTGCCTACCACAAAGGCAGACTGGGGTGGGGAGGTGTGGGTGTCAGGGAAACTGGAAACGTTGGTGAAGAGTAGTGGACACTGGTGAAGGGATTGGTGTTGGAACAATGCACGCCTAAAACACAACCACAAATATCTATGTAACATTGTAATTCATGCTGATTCAATAAAAGCATACATATTAAAGATAATTAAAAATGAGATTAAAAACTAAATTAAAATGTGGTTTCGAGAGCTAATCTCTTGGCTAAGATAGAACAAATCATGGGGGGCAGAAGGTGAAAGGAGGGGATTGGACTGTGATGGATATTGGGGCTGAAGAACCGGGGTCTCATTAGGAAAGTGCTAACAGCGTGAGCAGGTTGTTTGTGCAGTACCCTGTCACACTGGCGTAGCTTCGTCTCTGTGGTTGGATTTATGTGGTCACTTGATCCAAAGTTTATAATTAATTGCAGCTCATGAGAGGTGGAGGACACTGTGGTCAAGGGCACAGGTTCTGGATATTATCTTCCCATCTCTGACCTTAACAAATCCATCAGCTCCTGGAACATCTGTTTTGTTATCTGTTAAAATGGTATTTCCTGCAGATCCCATCTATGAGAGTTATTGTATGAATAAAGATGGAAATATATTCTATGCAAGAAGTATTAGCACTGCTTCTAATCCATAAGGTCTCAAGAAATCTCTTCTTTTTTTTCTTCTTCCTCCTCCTTTTCCTCTGCCTTTTCCTCCTCCCCTCCTTCTTCTCTCTACCTCCTTCTTCCTTTACCCCTCTTCTCCCTTCCTCTTCATCCCCTCCTAAACCTTCTTGTCCAAATCCTTTTCCTTTGCTCTCCCCAATTCTCTTCTTTTCTTTCTCCGTCCTCCCTCTCTTTTTCCTCCTCTTCCCTTTTTCTATTGCCAGGGATAATGGAAAACTCTTTAATCCACTGTCATTAGAAAATTAAGATACATACATCTATGTCATAATAAGATGACATATTATGACATCTCATTCCTACTTTGACAAACTGGCAGGCTACCGAATGTAGCCTGCCCACATGGCAGAGTCTGGCAAACTCCCCGTGGCGTACCCAATATGCCAAATACCAGTAACAATGATGGGTCTCATTCTCCTAAAGAGCCTTGAATATAATCTCAGGGCTAGGATGAAGGAGACGTTACTGGGGCCTGCTTGAGGCCATCGACGAATAACAGGATGATTTGTGATTCGTGTGATTGATTGTATACATCTATAATAAATGTATATACATTTATTACCAGTAATCATAGCATCACTCATTTATTATTCATGTTATATATCTACTTACACTATTTTATTTATCTTTCATTTGTTATAAAAATGCCTAAGCCACGTTAAGTAAAAAAAAAATTGCCTAATGTGTCTTAGGCATTAAGCAAATAACTAGAATTTTAATGAGTTTGAGCCAACCCATGCTCCAATTTCTGTTTATTTGAAGCAAATAATTTTAAATGTTTGTACTTTGGTATTTTCAATAGAAACAGAAATGGGCAGTAGTCATCACATAGGAGTTTTAGAATTATTTAAGTAGAGCACTTACGTAGAGATAACTCTGTGGACTGGATTTCATGCTTTGCATGACAGAGGCCTGGTTTGATCCTTACCACCATACAGTCCTCAGAGCACTACTAGGAGCAACCCCTGAGCACTGAGTCAGGAGTAGCCCCTGAGCAGCACCAGGTATAGCCCAAGAGCAAAAAGGAGAGAGTTGAGAGTGGTCTAATGTAGAAAGCATACATGTTCTATGCTTTTACAGGAACGTTGAAAGTATAGAACATCATAGAAAGGCAAGTTGGTTATATACATTTATACATTTCTATATATTGACTATAAGGTATCACAGAACTTGTTGCCACAATAAAATTCCTTGAGACAAGGCTTTATAGAGTGACTGGACCTTCCTTGTCTACCTGTTATTCCAGCTCACAAAAAAAATGGCCCCACCAGTTCAGATGCCTGGTGGTGTTCATCTTATCAGTAACAGAGAGTTTCGTTTGAAATCAGCGGGATTTTCCTTGCCTTGTTTCAGGCTTCGTGGATTTGAGCCTCCATGACCAAGTCCACCTCCTGGAATGTGCCTGGCTGGAGATCCTGATGATTGGCCTGATCTGGCGCTCCATGGAGCACCCAGGGAAGCTTCTGTTTGCTCCTAACTTGCTTCTGGACAGGTGAGTGACATGCTGTGGCTTGAATGATTCGTTTAGACCTGAAGCTTCCGGAAGCTGGCTTGGATATGTTTGCTTTACAGAAAGGTGAAGTCAGATGAGACAGGCTAGTCAAGCTCACAGAAACTCACAAAGAGCCTTCTCCCAGCCATCTCAAATTTGCTCTCTCATTTTGTAATATCTATCTTAGGTATAGTGACAATATTAGAGTAGAATGGAGTCATGATTTACCAGCTCATTTGAGTTTATTTTATTTATATTTGAATCTGGGCTGGAGCGACAGCACCGCAGGTAGGGCGTTTGCCTTGCACGTGGCTGACCCAGGTTCGATTCCTCTGTCCCTCTCGGAGAGCCAGGCAAGCTACCGAGAGTATCTCGCCCTCATGGCAAAGCCTGGCAAGCTACCAGTGATGTATTCAATATGCCAAACACAGTAACAACAAATCTCATGATAGAGACGTTACTGGACCCGCTCGAGCAAATCGATGAACAGTGGGAGGACCGTGATATATTTGAATCTGGGCTGGAGTGACAGCACCACTGGTAGGGCGTTTGCCTTGCATGTGGCTGACCCAGGTTCGATTCCTCCGTCCCTCTCGGAGAGCCCGGCAAGCTACCGAGAGTATTCTGCCCACATGGCAAAGTCTGTTAAGCTCCCCGTAACGTATTCGATATGCCAAAAACAGTAACAACAAGTCTCACAATGGAGATGTTACTGGGGCCCGCTCGAGCAAATGAAAAATGGGAGGACAGTGCTATATTTGAATCTATATATTTTTGACCCACTGAGGAAAGTCAAAGCAAATATTGCATTTTGAATCTAAATATATATATATATATGTATACTTGTGTAAATATTTACTCCTATAGGTATACACATGTGTATGTGTTTGTAGATATACATTATGAAATGTAAATTCCTCACTTCCCACTTGAAATGAACAACCTCTCTGAAAATGAACAACCTCTCTGGTTAGGATCCATTTGGGGTCCTGTACACTTAAGCTGCACTAGCCTTTTCTTTTTCGGCTCCAATTTTCCCATCTTGAAGGGAAGAAATTCCACCAGTGCTCTGAAGGCCTCTTTTAGTTTCTATGAATGAATATAAGTCACCCTATTCTCCAGCGTGCAACCTTACTTAGCACATTCTGTTTGGATTGGCTTGGAGTGCAGGTTCTATTTTCTTTTCCTAGTCACTGCTTTGAGGATTAGAGGGCAATGATCATTTACCCACAGTTTCGCCATGCCAGAGACTCTTCCCAGCTTCTTGCCCACTGCTGGCCATACAGCACCCCACTGAATCACACAGCATTTCCCACTGAATACAGCACCCCACTGAATCACACAGCATTTCCCAGAGAGTTACCTTGCACATTTTCCTTGAAGGAAGTCTGTTCACTTTCTGCTACTTATAAAAGTGTGGAGCCAGCTAATAATGGATCCATACCTGGCTGCCTCGATTTCCCCCTCAGGTGTTTTCTCGTTTGCTTCCATGACAAGGTCTTCACAACCTTTCTTGTCTGATGATGCCTCCTTCGGGTTGACTGCTGTAGCCTTTCACTGTATCACTGTCATCCCATCGATCTGGAGTGGGCACCAGTAACATCTCCATTCATCCTAGCCCTGAGATTTTAGCAGCCCCTCTTTACTCATCCTTCCCAATGGTGCCATATTTGAGGTTCTTTCAGGGTCAGGAGTAATAGCACAGCGGGTAGGGCATTTGCCTTGCATGCAGGCCACACAGCCAACCTGAGTTCGATTCTTCTGCCCCTCTCGGAGAGCCCGGCAAGCTACCAAGAGGATCTCGCCCGCACGGCAAAGCCTGGCAAGCTACTCGTGATGTATTCGATATGCCAGAAACAGTAACAACAAGTCTCACAATGGAGATATTACTGGGCCCACTCGAGCAAATAGATGAACAATGGGAGGACAGTGCTACAGATAGTGCTACAGGGCCAGGAGAATGAGACACATAATTGTTGCTGTTTGGGGCATATCGAATATGCCACGGGGAGCTTGCCAGGCTCTGCCATGTGCAGCAGGATACTCTCGGTAGCTTGCTGGGTTCTCCGAGAGGGAGAACTAGACTATAAGAGGTCACGGCCACGTGTTTCTGGGATGTTTGTTTTATAGTCTCTGGATCTTGACTGTAGCCTTTATCTCTCCCAATTCCCAATTCCTTTCTTTTAATTTATTGGCTTTGGGGCTAGACATAGCAGTGCTCAGAGTTTACTCCCGGCTCTGAGCTCGAGGACCACTCCTTGCTTTTGCAGGTTACTGGACAGTGGAAAAAAAGAAAAAAACAAAACTGGACAGTGGGGAGAAAAAAGCTCCATCTTCTCTCTCTCTCTCTCTCTCTCTCTCTCTCTCTCTCTCTCTCTCTCTCTCTCTCTTTCTCTCTCTCTGCTTTTTGGGTCACACCTGGTGATGCTCAGGGGTTACTCCTGGCTTTAGCACTCAGGAATCAGTCCTGGCGGTGCTCAGGGGAATTGAACCTGGGTCGACCACATGCAAGGCAAATGCCCTACCCACTGTGCTATCCCTCCAGCCCCTCCCCATTCTCTCTTGCAGACCTGGGAACTCTTTTTGCCTTTGCTCCTCAGTTCAAGGCTACGGGCTAGTGCACTCGGCAGTTTTCTACATTTCTGCCCTTGGGAACATTGTACTCCACCCCCTCCCCATATTTTCCTGCCTGTCCTTCCCCAGTCCCCAGTTTTTCCTCAAGCACCAGATATTTATTTATTTTAAAATTTTCATTATTGAAAATTTTGGGTTTTAATATAACAAATAACGTTTTTTCATGGATATAGTTCCAACTCCACACCCATCACCAGTGTACCCATTCTCCTCCCCCAAGGACTCTCCCTCTCAACCACCCCCCAGCTTGACTGTGTGGGACAGTTCCCCCATTAGGTTGCCTTTGGATCTTTGTTGCTACCTCACTTTATGTGTTTAAGTCCCAGCTAGGAGAGATCATTCTATCTCTGGCCCTTTTATTCTGACTGACTTCACTCAACGTGCTATACTCTAGCTGCGTCCTGCTTATCTGTAAATAAGCACCAGACATCTAATTGACCAATGTTAGTTGCAACTTTATTGGGATTCACACAGCTTTTGAAAAGCCATGATGACACTGTTCAAGAAACAGATTTTCCAGGAGGGGGGGTGATACAGGAGACATTAACACTACTGTTAAAATAATTATTTTATTGAAAAAAAGAAAAGCAGATTCTAGTGTTTGTGGACTATGTTCCCATATCACAGGCTCGTGAATCTTTCAAGAAAGTTTAGTCTTGTTTCTGAGAACCATACTCACACCATATTCTTTTTTTTTTTTTTTTTGGCTATTTTGGGTCACACCCGATGATGCACAGGAGTTACTCCTGGTTCCATGCACTCAGGAATCTCTCCTGGCGGTGCTCGGGGGACCACATGGGATGCTGGGAATCGAACATGGGTTGGCTGCGTGCAAGGCAAACGCCCTACCCGCTGTACTATTGCTCCAGCCCCACACCATATTCTTTTAGCTTTTTACTTTTACTTGATTTTTCCCTTTCCAGTTTCTTTCTTTTTGTTTATTGTCTTTTGGGCCATACCAAGCAGTATTTAGGGCTTACTCTTGGCTCTGAGCTTGGGGATCATTTCTTGTGGGGCTACAAGGGGCATATGTGACATTCTGGGCTCACACCGAGGTTGGCCATACGCAAAGCAAATGCCCTACCTAGTGCATTATCACTCTCACCAAGGTCCTTTTTCTTTCTTTGAATTTTTACAAAGACACCATGATTTACAAAGTTGTTTATTATCGAGTTATTTCAGGCTTACAATTTCTTCCCAATAGCTAACCCACTACCAATGACTCAAGCAGGCTCCTTCCCACCCCAAAACCTGCCACCGTGACAGGCACATAGCAAATTTATTTCATGTTATTTCCTTCAGCAAAACTTAAGGAATGGCAAATGGAATTATCAGTAAAAGTCAATTTGTGCTGATTGATTTTTATATGATTTAACCCATGTAATAAAATAAATTCAAGTCATTTAATGTAATATAGTAACACTGCTTATTCTCATTTATATAGCTAAGCTACGAACTCTGGGTTCTAAAATATAGTGCATTGAATTTTACTTTGTACTTGAGTCTTATTATGGTGATTATGTCTTCTTTAACATAAAGAAAGTTCTTTTAAAAAGAACTCTACTATTATATTTTAGTCTCCATTCAGCAGGTAAAACCTATAAATGTAAATTTGATAAGGGTGAAGAGAACTAAGAAAATGTAAATGGGAAAATTTGAGTAGGCTTATAATAGTACAAATTGTTTAATCCTAAGAAAGCGAATATTGATTTTATATAAGAAAATTTTATATTATAGGTACTGCGTCAGTGTCTGCATTATAAGTAAAGGCATGCAAAAAAAGTCTTTGGATGTAATAAAAACTGATCAGACATAGAACAATCAATATAAATCAGACCTTAATTCATTGTTGAAAAGGTATGAAATCCCTTGGCAACCTAGGAATCTAGGAGTGAGAAACTATATGCACTGTTAGTGAGTGCTACACTCAGTGACATATGCTGCCAAGCCTGTCTTGTCCTTCAAAAAAAGCTCAAGGGGCTGGAGCAATAGCACAGCGGATAGGGCGTTTCCCTTGCACACAACCAACCCGGGTTCAATTCCCAGCATCCCATATGGTCCCCTGAGCACCGCCAGGGGTAATTCCTGAGCGCAGAGCCAGGAGTAATCCCTGTGCATCGCCAGGTGTGACCCAAAAAGAAAAAAAATAAGCTCAAAATTTTAATGCTTCTTGTAAAACTGGTTTCAAGGCTATAAATTCCCTGAGCTGTTGCCTGTCCATGAAGCTCGACCAACCTCTTAGAAGGCGGGTATCTCTGCAATGTTCCTCACCTTTTCTCTTCTTCCCTCTTCTCCGACTTCTTCATTTTCTTCCCTTCCCTTCCCTTCCTTTCCCTTCCCTTCCCTTCCCTTCCCTTCCCTTCCCT